AATTGAGTGGTTTCTCAGCCTTAGGTTTTGCTTTATTTCCCCTGAAGACATGTTAAAAGTGCAGAAAAAAATAGATAGGAGTATGTAATGATTACCTGAAGCACTTGCTGTTACCAGTCTGTAAAAATGTGTTTACATTTTTACAGACTGGTATTTACAGGGGAGCTGTAATCTTTGTAGCTTTTAAGAGCATGCATTGCCCATGTCTACCCAATGTAAAGTGAGAACATTAGGCGAACTTCTTTTCCTGTAGCAAGTGACTCAATATTCTTTGAATTTTAATAATAATAATAATAATTAATGGAGATATCCCATCTCCTAGAACTGGAAGGGACCTTGAAAGGTCATTGAGTCCAGCCCCCTGCCTTCACTAGCAGGACCAAGTACTGATTTTGCCCTAGATCCCCAAGTGGCCCCCTCAAGGATTGAACTCACAACCCTGGGTTTAGCAGGCTAATGCTCAAACCACTGAGCTTTCCTTATTTGAATCTGCCATGGGAGTTGGTGGGATAGAGGCTGCAGACATATAGTGCAGCTGACAGCCATTTTGAAGTGGCGAATGGGGCTTTTGTGGGGTGGGCGAGAAGGGAGGGGTGACATTCGCCAGCAGGACTGCTGAAGGAAGGGAAAAGGAAAAATAAATACATGGGCATGTTCCCTCCATTGTGTGGGCCTGAAAATAATTGGTAGTTGGGGCTTTAGCATGAGACGGAGCTGATTGCTTGGCCGGAGTAGCTGCCATTTTGGAAAGGTGTACATTGGGAAGGTGCACAAATGGACAGTATGAGCCAATGGAAGGAGATGAGGACCTCCGACTTAGAAAGGTTTCTAGCTCACATCCACTTACAGTGGCTGCAGCTGAGCCACTGGGGCACTTGGAACAGAAGCTAGCATGGGAGTAAAACATCGTCATAATACATTGAAACATAATTATTAAATTATTACCAAAATTATATTAAAAGATTTACATGCTGAGGTTCCCTCCATAGGATCAGCCTCCTTAGTCCTTGTTCCTGGTTGCTGCCTGGGAATCAGGCTCGCCTTTCACTTGGTCAGCATCAGTGCCCTAAACCCCAAAGAGATCCTGGCTTTCTGGGAAGATCTCTTAACTTCCCTCTTGGTGCTCATCCTCCGATGAGTCTTGCTGCTCATCCTTGGGAGAGCCAGGCAGAAAGCAGCCACCAGGCTTCACAAGGTGCCTGGGTCGTGTGGTTTGGTAAAATCCTGTTGAGCGCCTCAAAAAATGGACAGGTTACATGTCCCCTGCTGGACTTTTTCCTGTTATCCCTCATTTTAATGTAGGTGCTCCTGAGCTGTTTGCTCTTTATCCAGCACCGTTTAGCATCCTGGTTGTGGCCTTTCGTGGACATCTGTCTATTAATGTCCACAAAAAAGTCTTTATTCCAGTGGCTGGCTGCAAGAGCTTCCTGCACCAATGCTTCTCCCTAGATAGTGATGAGATCTCAGTGTGCCTCCAAGCAGCTGCTTGAGGCATGTTGTAGGGTTTCTGGAGTCTTATCGCAGCTATTGTGATAAACTGGAATCCAGGAGCAAATGGAGAAAATCTGTCTGAGAGCCAGTTTATAAACTGGGGAGGGGGCATCCAGTCAATTTGACCCCAGAGCAGGGGAGGGCACACAGGTAAACAGACAGGTCAGTGATGGTCGCCCACAGAGCAGTGTGGGGGTAGCAGTTGGAGGATTCCCAAAGTAGTTTGCAACAGCATTGTGTGCACACGAACAATAGCCTGGACTAACTCACTTCACAGCAGAGTTATTTCAATTTGAAAGAGGACTTCAGAGTATGCAATCAATATGGAGTCAGTGCACTACAATGAACTGTGTCATCCATGTGCAAGTGTTTTCAAACTGGATTAATTCCATTTAGTTCTAGAGTGGCATTTAAATATTTTTATTATTATATGATTTCTTATTTACAAGCTGCCAAGGAGCTTAGGTCATTATAGACCATAGTAATTGATTTATCATGATGTAATGGCTTGTATTACACTCTATCTAGCATGCATTTGGTTTTTGTATTAACCTGCTGTGGTGTTGTTCTGCTTCTGCTTCAGTCATCCATTTGCAATGGGATCTAGTTTCAAACATAGTGGAAGTTATGCACAGCAATGTTTCTAAAAGGCCAGGGTCTAAAAAGTCATATGAATTTGCTAAAAGGTTTTCTTCAGTGCAATAAATGAATGCTGTGGGTGTTATCCCGGAAGATGCCCAGTGTGTTCAGCTCCCCGTACACTTGGAGCTAATGGTAATGAGCACCTTGCAAGATGTCCATCGCTTTCAGGACTAGGACATTCATTTCTTTGAGCAAACAGGAGTTTGAACACGTTTTATTAAAATGATTACTCAAGAAGGATCCTAGAGATTCCTGCTACACCCACCACTGGTCACTCTTGTTTTCACTTCAGAAGATTTACTTCCTTCATGCTGTGAGTTCTACTTTTTGTTTCTTCATGCTGTGAGTTCTCTCTAGTCTGTTCTTTAGTGGGGTTTTCCTTAGGATATAAGTATCTTCCAAAACTCAGTCTGAGGAATGTTGCTTCACCCAATCAGCTGTCACCCTGGAGGATTTTACCAGGGCAGTAGATCTCTTAAGATGATGCTTGGCTGCATGTTCCAGTCAGAGCAAGTCACAGGGTAATCCTCAAATAATTATTCTTTCAATATAAATCCCTCTCTTTCTACTTCTCTTAAACTATTTTTTAAAAGTCGTGTCTATAACAATAGCAGCCCTCACATTATAACAAGGAAGTATTTTCCCATTAATTGGGCAACATACTCCTTCATGCAAAATCTGTCATTGGCAGATATCCTTACTGCCCATGCCCTGAAATGCCTGCAGGATCATGGGCTTTGTAATTAACTGGGAAAAGAGCAGCCTCTCCTCACCACAGAGTATTCTGCACGTAGTTGTAAAAATAGATTCAATGTAGAGGAAGATGTTTCTGTCACAGGAAAGGATTCTTTGATTGCAGAATTGACTAAAGATGAAGAAAGGAGAAGGCTGGCTGCTTGATTGCATACAAACAGGGATTGCTCATAATTGTCTTCTAAAATCTAATCAAGTTTTAAATAATGTTAAAAAAAATACAATAAATGTAGGTGATAAGCATGCACTCTTGAAATGGTTCAGCTCCAATCTGGAAATTGATTGGTTATCACTGGCATGATTGAGTGATTAGCAGATCCCCTATCACAGAGCAGCTTTTCTTTTGTCACCAAGGGTATGTCTACAGTGCAAGTGAAGCTGATAGTAGTGCAGGTAGCCATTTCCCTGCTAGCTTTAATCTAGCTAGCATAGGTAACAATAGCAGGATAGACATGGCAGCATGGGCTTCACCATGGGCTAGCAACCCTTCTGGGGTGCCTGCGAATGTGTTCTGGTTTCTAGCCCCTTCTGAGGTCTATGCTGCCACATCTACATTGTTATTGTTACCTGTGCTACCACTGCTACAGTCACATCTTTACTTGCAATGTAGACACACCCTCAACGACTTGGATGGTTTCCTGTTTTTCCATCTTACAGAACATAAGGGGAGCTACAAAAACTATTTATAGAAAATTGGTCACTGTCACCCGGCATCATGTTCATTCTGTCGGACCACGCAGTGGGGGTAGTCCCTGAGTTGGTAGATGGAAAGGAACAGAATTTCTCTCTTCTAGTTCCCTGCCAGAGAAATCATTACAATGGCTGCAAGCCTGGCAAAGTGAGGTGTATTCTTAGGACATAATTATGTCCTTGCCATTAATGGGAAGAGGGTGCAGAGTGGAATAGTAAAGAGAGTATTGGTAAAATAAAGGACAGAGAGAGCAAATACCACGAATACAGACAAAGGAAAATTGTAACCATATAACTGAGAGAGAATCGAGAAGTAGTCATGAAAAGCTGGTTAAGTTACACAGTCCTGATGTACAGTATAACATACTGTAAGTGAGTCCATTGCAATGGAGATTAAAAAGAAAGCAGCACTGGCAGCACAAAAATGGGGTTAGAAAATAATTATGTACAGCTAATATAATTTCAGATTGTAAAAAAACATTGAGATAAAACAGAAGGCAGGAGAAATCTCAAACATACAGGCAAGTAGACACAGAGGATCAGGGTATAGTTATTATGCCAAAGATTATTTGACTAGAATATGTGCTGCAATTTAGAATAATTTCTTTCTGCATACTGAGACCAAGTTGTTGTTTGTTGACCCACAAAATGAACTGTTATAGTACAGTCTACATTCTAAAATGCAAGTGCCACATTTGTGCGTGTTCACAGAATTATGAAATTTTCCACTTTCTGAATTAAGTTAAAAGCTGTCCGAGTCTTGTTGTTTATACAGTTTGATTAAGTAATGTTCATACGCTGAAGCTGACTAATAACTTATTTTTGGAGTACGACATGTTGAGGCCTGATGCTCCCCCTGTATGTGATTTTTCCAGAATAGGAGCTGGGAAATGTACATTTTCATTCATCAGGTTTATTCTTGTAGTTTTCTATCAGGGTGTTAGGTTTTGTTGTTCCTCTCAGCCCACAGAAATGGAATGAAGATCATGAATGCTATTATTTGTAAACAAGCAAAAACAAACAAACTGTAAGAGGAGCAGATCTAAAGCAACACCTAAGGAAGAAATAGCCTTTATAAATAAGTGGAGGGCATTTCTGTAACAAGTAGATGTCATTCATCAGAAGTTTCTTCGGTGGTGCATTATATTTTATTATGGTGCACAATTGAGAAAAAAATACATTGAACTTTTGCACACTGTCATATTTTTGTCTGAATCAAGATTTTAGTATTAGCCATGTAGTTTATGTATTAGCCTTTAACATACCATTGTTGGTAATGTTCTCCACTGTTCTTGTCTGGTGTATATTTCTCTACAGATACAGGATATACTTATGAAAAATGTATTTTATGTGCCTACTGTATATTTCTAAAGATACATGTGTCAGCCAATACCCTGTTAATGGTATGAACTTTAATTTCACAGATGAAAGAACTTGGTGTCATTGTGTACAACTGCAGCTGCCTCGTCCTAGATTTACAAAGGATATTTGCCTTGTATAGCTCATTAAAATACAAGAATAAAGTGCCTCCAAGTTGGTCTAAGAGATTGTATGGGGTGTATGATACTCAAAATAAACTGACGCTGCAGCTGAATGAAACAAAATCAGAAGTCTTTGTGTCGGTGAGTTCTTAAGAGAATGTTCTTTGCCTGTTTAAGTGAGGGTGGGGGAGAATATTATTTAACATTTGAGTTTTATTGGGACCGAGAAATTTGGCTTCAGTTGAACCTCCTATTACAACATTGTCTTTACTGCATAACTGAATAGAAACATTGGGTTAGTCTGGTGTTTAATACCATAAATGTCAACTATCACATGTCTCTTCACACACACAAAAAGACAGAACACATGTTGACAGAACATGTGAATAGCTACCATGATGCTGCTTACTCCCTGACAGCAGCTCACTGCTGAAAGAGTCGTCGCTACATGTGCTTCAGCACTCTTGTGTACCCAATGTTCTCTAGGTATAACCTTTCCATTTTTAGGTTTTTAACACCCTGGAAGCATTCCTATTCAGGAAAGCACTTAAGTCCTTGAGAAATAATGGAACTTAAGCACATGCTCAAGTGCTTCTCTGAAATGTGGCCTAACTTAAGAATATACGCACCAGTACTTTTCATTCACCAAGATAAGCTGTTGAAATTGAGAGTCATGGCAGTGACTGAAACTGAGCTACAAAGAAAGTACCATAGTTACCAACTATACAAGACAGAAGTACAAGGGAAATCTATGGTTGCTGACAGACTGGATCACTTTCTCATCAGGGGAGAAAATAACCATTTCAATAGGTGTATTGTTTGTGGGGAAAATTTGTAACCAAATGTGGAGAAATTCATAGTTTTTTCTCCACTTTTCACATTACATGGACGCAAAGAATAGTAAATTCACTCTGATTTTCATGACATTTTAACTATATGTAGAGCACTGTCATGAATGTAGAGCTTTGAAAATTAACTTTTGTATTGTTACTCTTTCCTTGTACTGTAATTCTCAATATATTTTCTTATAGTCAAGGAACAACAGGAGAGCCCTCATGTGGCTAACTTATTACCTGTACGTTTCAGCTTAGCAAAGAATTTGTAGCTAAATGGATTAATTTTGTATCTAATATTTTAATTATAGCTAGTCCAAATCCTGTTACATTTTTACTAAAATTAGAGCCCAGTATCTATTTTTTTGCTATGTGACTTTTGGTTGATTAATTATCATAATCATCTTATTAACATAGCACTTCCTCCCCATCCCCATGAATGCATCCAGAGTGCTATATAACAACAGAAACCTTTATTTATAGATCATTTGAGCATATCCAACATTGAAACAACTAAAACTGGTTGAGAATGCCCAGTACCAATAGGAGGAGGGGGGTGGGAAGGGATAGGAGAAAGTAAAAAGGCCCAGCATACTAAAAAGCTGTTTTTTAATGGGGAGAGATGGAAGAATAGAATGAGCTCTTGGACTCCCCACAGCAAAGGCATGATTCCCTGTCCACCTAATGTGCAATGGTTGAATCCCTGAATGGTATGTGACCGCATATACCTATTGAGAAGATGCTCAAGGAAGATCTCAAACAGAGCCAGGGGCTACCCCAGTAAGGACTTTAAAAAATCACCACCATCCTTTAGTTCGTCTGAGACTTTATAAGCAGAAGGCAGAGTGGGTGTAATATGATTTTAGTTGTTCAAACCAATTTGCAAACCTGCTGCCCCATTCTGAACAAATGATGAGTCCTGGTGAAATCCTTTCTTGGAGGAGAATACAGTAATGAGCTGTAGTCACAGAGAATGTGTTGCTATTATGAGGTTATCATAGGGTGAAGAATGACACAGCCTGAGCAAATGGAGTGTGGGGGGAAAGATACCTTTCATACCACATTTAGCATGGTCGTGAGTGAAAGTGACACCAACCATTTCCAAACAAGTCCTTTTGATAAACACATGCATGAAAGAAGAGAGCACATACTCATGCTGCAATCCTTAACCCACCAGTGACTCTCCCCTCTCCCAGGAGCAAATCCGCTCCAACGCGCCCAGCCGCTGTATCATACCAGCATTCCTCCTGCGTGGAGAAAGAATGTGTAGGGCCTACAGGGCAATTATATATCACCAGCTAACTGTCCTCAGTTTTTAAATGACCTCTGCAAGAAGCCTCATATACACTGAAGAAAATGGGAGCTAGAGTAGACCTACAGTGGATATTGTGCTTCAATTTACTCAGTGTGGCCCCATAATTGATATTGATTGATACTTACCATCTAGTTCTGACTTGAACCATGGAAGGGTAGTTCTACACCCACCTCATCTTCCTTTGCTCCCCCATCCACTGTGCTGCAGTTTCTCCTGATAAATTTTCTTTTCCTCGTTTGCTTTTTTTCCTATACCACAAGGTTGTCCAGGAAGTGGGAATGAGAAGGAAAGAAAGATGCAGTTTCCAAAACCAGATTCTTCCCTTCTTGAAAACAGGATTTTCAATATATCATTTCTCACACCGGGCAGCATTGTCTAAGTGTCTAAGAAAGGAACTGCAGAAGAATTCTATAGCCAGTTGAAAGGGCACAGAGACGTTTGCTATTAGTATCTAGTTATCCAAGCTGGAATTTGGCCAGGGCAGCAATCCTAATCCTGAAAAAAATGCCCTGGGATCTTTAATGACCACAGTTGGTCAGAAATGTATTTATATGTCTCTCCTGTAATTATGTTAACAATGTCGTAATGGACAATTTGCATTTCATATCTGTGCATAGACATGAATGTTAGTGATAGTTTTATAATGTTTTTTCCGCAACTGTGCTAATGATGGGAATATAGGAAGGCCAACAAGTCCCTTTCCCTTCTATATCCTCTCCTGTAGAAAATAAACATGGTAGACAAGTCTATTAACTTTACTCTGCCAATTTACCCTGTATTCAAAATGCCTCTGGATCAACAATCGTTATCAAACTGCTTCCAAGAGAGACTGCAGCAGCTCTGGATTCTGTAGCTAGTTTGTCTTTTTGCTGTTAACTTGTACCCCTGAGCATTTCTAGAGAGAGAATAGTCTGTTATCTTTGGAGTAAATCAAATTGTGTATACAATATGCTGAGAAAACAGATTCAGATAATAAAAATAAATCACCTACGTTATATTTTTTATTTTTTACCTTGCTTCCTGAATCTAAATTCATTGTCTTAAAAATTCTTCTCTTCCAGTCTTTCTTGCTGTGTAAGATCTGAACATCACAGTAAATCAATGATTCTCCATTCAGGAATCCTCATGGTACAGTTGCTTAGCAACAGTACAGTCTTCCTGAGTGGCTGAGAGAGACAAAAGAAAATGCAGTTGCTTTTTCTGAGAATTCAGGGCTCAATCCTGGGAGAGCATGGATACTCTGAACTGCCAGTGATCTTAATTACTCTATTATGTATTTTTTATTATTAAAATAATATTTAGGAACACCAATCAAGGATCAGGGCCCCATTGTGCTAGTTACTGTACTGACAAATAAAGAAGAAAGCCTCTATACCAAAGAGACCACAGTAGATTAGTTGTCAGGATGCAACATGTGGACAAAGCAGACAAAGAGAGTGGGGGAAGGTAGGAAGATGAGGTAACAAAATAAAGAGTTTAGCATGTTCACCACTTGTCTAACCAATGCCTGATGAGAGTGATTTGTAGACAACATAAATGAGGGAGGTTTTAAAGGTCAGACCCTTACAGAGAAGCAGTACCTTTCACAGACTGTGATTTTCTTAGCAATATGTTACCTTGCATAAAACAGTAAATAGCTTAAGGTCATAAACACTAATTCATAATATTTATGAATGATGTGCCCTGTTAGTGTTGTGGCCTGGATACATCTACTACTTTGTAATGTAACCAGTACTGTGAATCTTTAAAGCAAAATCCTGTGATGTATCATGTAACACCTTCCTCTCAAGTAGAGCTACTTTGATAGCAATGGCTATTTTTACGATTGACCCCTTTGGAAATCTTCCTATACAACTATAATTCTGCGTAATGCTCAAACAGCAATTAGATATCTGATTCCCCCTTCATAGATTCATAGATTCTAGGACTGGAAGGGACCTCGAGAGGTCATCGAGTCCAGTCCCCTGCCCGCATGGCAGGACCAAATACTGTCTAGACCATCCCTGATAGACATTTATCTAACCTACTCTTAAATATCTCCAAAGATGGAGATTCCACAACCTCCCTAGGCAATTTATTCCAGTGTTTAACCACCCTGACAGTTAGGAACTTTTTCCTAATGTCCAACCTAGACCTCCCTTGCTGCAGTTTAAGCCCATTGCTTCTTGTTCTGTCCTTAGAGGCTAAGGTGAACAAGTTTTCTCCCTCCTCCTTATGACAGCCTTTTAGATACCTGAAAACTGCTATCATGTCCCCTCTCAGTCTTCTCTTTTCCGAACTAAACAAACCCAATTCTTTCTGCCTTCCTTCATAGGTCATGTTCTCAAGACCTTTGATCATTCTTGTTGCTCTTCTCTGGACCCTCTCCAGTTTCTCCACATCTTTCTTGAAATGCGGTGCCCAGAACTGGACACAATACTCCAGCTGAGGCCTAACCAGAGCAGAGTAGAGCGGAAGAATGACTTCTCGTGTCTTGCTCACAACACAACTGTTAATACATCCCAGAATCATGTTTGCTTTTTTTGCAACAGCATCACACTGTTGACTCATATTTAGCTTGTGGTCCACTATAACCCCTAGATCCCTTTCTGCCGTACTCCTTCCTAGACAGTCTCTTCTCATTCTGTATGTGTGAAACTGATTTTTTCTTCCTAAGTGGAGCACTTTGCATTTGTCTTTGTTAAACTTCATCCTGTTTAACTCAGACCATTTCTCCAATTTGTCCAGATCATTTTGAATTATGACCCTGTCCTCCAAAGCAGTTGCAATCCCTCCCAGTTTGGTATCATCCGCAAAGTTAATAAGCATACTTTCTATGCCAATATCTAAGTCGTTAATGAAGATATTGAACAGAGCCGGTCCCAAAACAGACCCCTGCGGAACCCCACTTGTTATGCCTTTCCAGCAGGATTGGGAACCATTAATAACAACTCTCTGAGTACGGTTATCCAGTCAGTTATGCACCCACCTTATAGTAGCCCCATCTAAATTGTATTTGCCTAGTTTATCGATAAGAATATCATGCGAGACCGTATCAAATGCCTTACTAAAGTCTAGGTATACCACATCCACAGCTTCTCCCTTATCCACAAGACTCGTTATCCTATCAAAGAAAGCTATCAGATTGGTTTGACACGATTTGTTCTTTACAAATTCATGCTGGCTATTCCCTATCACTTTACCACCTTCCAAGTGTTTGCAGATGATTTCCTTAATTACTTGCTCCATTATCTTCCCTGGCACAGAAGTTAAACTAACTGGTCTGTAGTTTCCTGGGTTGTTTTTATTTCCCTTTTTATAGATGGGCACCATGATTTTCCAAAGATAATAGCTAGAGGCTCAGATACCTCCTCTATTAGCTCCTTGAATATTCTAGGATGCATTTCATCAGGCCCTGGTGACTTGCAGGCATCTAACTTTTCTAAGTGATTTTTAACTTGTTCTTTTTTTATTTTATCTGCTAAACCTACCCCCTGCCCATTAGCATTCACTATGTTAGGCATTCCTTCAGACTTCTCGGTGAAGACCGAAACAAAGAAGTCATTAAGCATCTCTGCCATTTCCAAGTTTCCTGTTCCAAGTTTCCTGTTCATACCTTTGAAATTACAGCTGTATAGTTTAACATACCAGTGGTTAATATTCTCCACTAAGTTTTGTAATTTTATTTGCAAATCTCACCTCAAGATGACAAAGAAACACCTCTTTTTTTAATTTAAGTGTAACATTTGACTTTTTGTCTTCACAGAATTCTCCCAAACTCTTTTGTCCAAAAGCCCGAGTCTTGGATATTGAAGCTATCTACAATGTTATAGATGACGCCAAACAGTTTGTTTATATAGCTGTCATGGATTACCTCCCTATTGTCTTTGACACAAATGCTAAAAGGTTAGTGAGTGTCCACAATGTATTATATTAGCACATTGCTGCAATGAGAGAAAGCTCTTGCTGGTGAAAATAAATCAGCAGGCATTTAGTTACTTGTTATGGATCAATTTCTTAGGGCCCAATTCTGCTCTCATTGAAATCAATGAGAGTTCTACCATTGACTTAACTGGGAGCACAATTGGGACCTAAGACGGAATTTCTAAGTTCTGGGTTCTAAGCTGTGGATCCCCCTATTGGAAGGAGATCAGAATGTGTCTAGTCTGACCATCTACAAGTGACTGAGACCCAGGAAAACAACAGTAGAGCTCACTTTTGTTTCTTATGTTACTGTATTCAGCACCTAGATACAATGGCTATTGGCACTCTCTGAATACCAGATAGTGTCTGTGTGTGTGAAAGAGAGAGAGAACATATTGAAGGATCTAATACACAGTATGGAAGCTATCATAATTTTATGTTAAAAAACAGATCTTTTCAAACTCAGCACAGATTGCACTTCCAGCCATTTTACATTATAGCTAGCTCATAGCAAAAAAAGTCAAAAAGGTTTATGCACAGTGTATTTATGGCCTAGATTTTCAAAAGTGCTCAGGACCTACAACTGGAGCCAAATCTTAATAAAATTATTCAGCTCCCCTCCCTCCAGTTGGAGCTGAATAAGTGGTTAAACTGAGAACTGCCAAGTATCCAGTAGCTCTCATTACTCTCAAAGGCAGGTGCTGGGAGCTGAGCCTTTTGGAAATCTGGCCACTTAATTCAGGTGCCTTAATGATAGCTGTTGGCTGCTGGCTCTTTTGAAAATCTATATTTATGCCTTTTTTCACCCTTGTATAATTGGGGGAAAAAAGGGTTATGTGTAACCCTTCCAAAACCAGACGTGAGAAATTTGAGACCCACAAGAACATTTTTGGAGAAAGTTACTGTCTAAAACTATACTAGTGGTTTAAAATGGAATAGATCTTTTATAACTTTAATTATAGTGTTGCTCTGTTAGGGCGGAGGCAAGGATTTTCCCCGCTCTATAGAGGAACCAGCTGATCTGTCCCCCTAGCCTGATTAATCCAGAGATCCATGTGGATTTGAGGGGAAGATCCACTCGAGACACAAGACCATCTACACCAGGGGTTGGCAATGTTCGGCACGCAGCTTGCCAGGGTAAGCACCCAAGCGGGCTGGGCCAGTTTATTTACCTGCTGATGCGGCAGGTTCAGCCGATCGCGGCCCCCACTCGCCACGGTTCGCCGTCCTGGTCCAATGGGGGCGGCGGGAAGCGGCGCGGGCCGAGGGATGTGCTGGCCGCGGCTTCCTGATGCCCCCATTGGCCCGGGACGGCGAACCGCTGCCAGTGGGGGCCGCGATCGGCCGAACCTGCCGCGTCAGCAGGTAAATAAACTGGCCCGGCCCGCTAGGGTGCTTACCCTGGCGAGCCGCGTGCCAAACGTTGCCGACCCCTGATCTACACAGAGAGGTCCCTTGCAGTTTTACTGGCAGCTTGGCTTTAAACTTGGTGCACTGCCATAGCTTCCCCACCGGCATTATCCTCCCAGCCTCCCATTAAAGGAGTTTCTTTGGCAATCTCCTTAGATTGATGGTAGAAGGGAGCTGCACATCTCCCTTGGGTTTCTTGCCTGACTCTCTTGCTCCTGGCCTGCTCCTTCTCCAGGAGTGGGATCTCTAGACCCATGTTGAGTGCTCTGGGCCAAGGACAGTAGGAATAGTGCCACAGAGACAGCTGTCATATTTGGGTAAGAATTCACCGACTCCCCAGCAATTGGACAGTGACGGTTGGGGAGAGACAGAGTCCTCATGTGAGCAAACTCCCGTCCCACCCAAAGAATATAGGGACTCTGCTCTGGGGTATCTCTCTTCCTCTTCTTCCCCCACCCCCCACCAGGAACTTCTTGAGGTTATTATAGTCCTAGGCCTGAGGCCCCAGAATGGGGGAGAGGCTGACAATCAGGGCTTTAAAAAGTAAGACGTTGATAGCTCCTTTTGCTTAAAACTGAGAAAAGTTCTCGCTCTCTCTCTGGCTTGGTTAAGCAGTGCTTTCTGATAGCTCCCTCTCTACTTTGGAATTGCGAGAGCTTTACTTCCTGTTCCAGTCTGCTTTAACACTGTTGATGACATGTGCATCACTCCGCTGGGTGTGGGAGGACTAGAAGTTCATTTTGCATGAGTCTTTGCATCCACAGGGGCAGCTCTGCAACCACCCACCCGGGGAGAGCTCGGGCATATTCACTCACACAGGCCAATAGGGTCTCACTGCCCCCAGGATTGGTTGGTTTTGTGTGAAGCAAGGTGACACAGTGGTAAGGGTCTAGCACAGCTCTTCCTGCCATGTCAGTTTGATTCCCTAGACTGCGGACAAATGCTGTTCACGTTTTGTTTAGTTTTCCCTAGTGGGGCTAGGTCTGCCTTGGTAAAAATCCAATTTGATTGCTTTTTCCCTGAATGTATTGTGTGCTTTCTCCACAGGTACTGGCCATATTTGGATGGGAAGATAAGAGAAGCACTAGTGTTACGAAGTATTAAAGTCCGGCTCCTCATAAGTTTCTCAAAAGACACAGATCCCCTTACATTTAACTTTGTTTCATCTCTTAAAGCTATTTGCACTGAGGTTCCCAGCTGTAGTTTAAAAGTTGTAAGTATACACCGTATGGTTCAGAATGAGTCTAAAACGTTTTCAGTGCACAAAAATATACCAACGATAAGTATATTAAGATTATCTGTGTTACTGTGGAAACCTTAAAGTTTCACTGAAAACCACGTGAAATGCGTAATTTGGGGCCAAATTTAGCCCTGGTGTACGCACAACTCTTGACTGCAATAGACTTTAATGAACTAGTAGCAAAGGTAAATGCATCATTAACCCCAATTCAGTTCCCTTCTGCAAGTGAAATATTTTGTATTACCCTGCACGGTGTTCACTGTAATTTATGATCAATGTGGCCAAGTTACTAGATAGATTTCAGTGATGTGTTACAAACCCTTACAAGTTTGAATTTGGTCCTCTTTTGTAACAATTCCTTTCATTTTACTGTATTGATTCCTGAATGCTCTTCAGTTTTGGTAACAATTGTGCAGAATTTGGATCTCACATGGCAGTGGTAACAACTTTCATGCTATAATCATATAATGCAAGTTCCTGGGGACAGAGACTCTCTCTGTTATTTGTTAGTACAGAGGCACTGTTCTGCTAAACCAAACTGAGGAAGATAGTAATACTTATCACTTACATAGTGTGGTGTTTTTAATCTTCAGAGCACTTTACAAACACTAACTAGTCCTAACACTACCCCCTGTGAGGTAGATCAGTATTATCCCCATTTTATACATAACAAAACTGAGGAAGGAAAGTTAAATGACTGGCCCATAACTCCATGTGTCACAGCCAGGGTTAGGATTCAGGAGATCCTGGCTCCCAGTCCTGTGTTCAGAACACTAAATCTGGTCTCTCCTGGAGAAACGTAACCAAATGAGTCACAGTTTTATGTCTTGTTTAAATTGAAGAGAATGTGCCATCACTGGACGGCTTATCTGATTGTGGAATAATGTGATCTGACTGTCAAATACACTAGCGCCTTCTTCTTCTTTATCACAGTAAATAAAATAAATGCAGATTTTACATGGACATTATGCAGTTCATTCAAAGTTATGAATGCAGAACAACTATTTCTTGGCCACATTGCACATGCAGTGTATAAAGAAGTATTTAACACCACATGTGCTGCACTTCACAGAAGCGGGTAGAGTTATGATTGATGTTGCATTAAATTTGACATAGTTGTTCGTGAATTAAGGTATTTATGAAATTCAGTGAAAGATACTGGAAGTAAAAAAACAGTCCTCTGAGGCACCCATCCCATTTGAGAAAAATCCTCTGCTGAGGTTCTGATTTTTTTTTTCAGTAATTCACATAAGATGGTTATTGTTAATTAGACTAATAGCTGCTGTGGAAGCCTGGTTACATACATCACTGAATGTATGTACTTTTGCACTCAGTAAATAAAGCCAACCAATACTAGATCCATTTTCCCTGTGAGGTCTGAATATACCAACGTCAGACTTTATATGTTTTGGGCATAGTTAACACAGCTCCCATTATTTTGAATTCCCCTTAAACCATAGGGACAAGTTACCCCTGAGTTTTAAACATGCAGAAGGAAGTTGGAGCAAATGAGAGCTTTGGCCGTTTGGCACAAGGACAGTTTTCAGTTCCATGACAGGTTTGGTATGGTGTTCATATGGCTCCTGTGTGAATTACATAGACCCAAGTCACCTGTCTGAGGCAGAGCCTTCCTGCCTTAATGGCATCAGTCTTCCTCCATTCTCTTTTTTATGTCCATCCTTAACTTTCCACAACTTAAGTTTTCTCCACTCCTTGCTCTAGTTCCATCCTCTCCTTCCATTCCTCAGGTAAAGCTCTCAAATAATGTAAATAAAATAAAAACTAAAGAGAAAAGTAAAATAAATTCTCCAAGATCAGTTCAGGCATTAGTCATCAATGGCTGCAATTCCCATCCCAATCTGCATTGCCTCCATCCTCTTCTTTCAGGTCCCAACTGAATACATTTTTTCCTCGGGACATACAATTGCTATTCCTCTCCTCAAAAAGTCTTTTAAAACTAAATAGCATAATAATTCCATTATTGAGCCACACCCTGCTGTCACAGCAACCCTCCTGACAATAGTAGCAAAGTTAAGAAGAAGGCTGAACCATTGGGAGAGTAGAAGTTCCTAGGAGCTAATGTTAGTTAACAGCCTCCAGGTCTATGAGACTATTACACATGCAATTAGTATCAGTAATGTTGTTTGTGGAACCTTATTAATACAATTCTTTTAAATGCTATCTTTTTCCAGTGCTCAGCCACTAAGTACTTGAGGGAAAATGTAGGTAATTACTTTTTTTCTGAACAATTAGAGCACAGAATAGTGTACAGTGTTTGTTAATTAGTATAGTTCCTGTGCTGGTATATTTCCTCTCTTTCTTAGGAAGGCTAATACAGCCTTAGACTCTTTGCCTAAGCAGGACTTGCTGTAACAACCAAAGGAAAACTAAGTGATAATTGCAGAACACCAGTATTAACATTGCACATCTTTTGTTTCACACACTGAATGATACTTGTATAGTAAGATATAAAATTATGAACACAACAAGCAGCGGTGGTTTTCTGTGATATGCTCCTTGTATATTGTTGGTTTCTTATTCCTGGAGATAATACTATCTGAAACATATTGAATACAGACGATTTTCAGTCTGAAATACATATGGTAATGTAACTTTCAACACAATAATTACAACCCCGAGATTTAAATCCAGTTACAGAGATGGGATAAGAACTTCCAATTAGCTTTATGCTGTCCATCAAAAAGACTTTTGCATATTGGGCTGTGTTACTGAATTTTAACTAATGACAGACTAACCTACAGAGGTTGTTTTGCTGTGATTAACATCCTAAAGCTCAGCCAAAGCTATTTAAGCTTATACTTCCTTAAATAATGCTTGCTTGCTTATTTCCTTTGTACATTTTTGGTTCTAGCCAGAACCAGAAAGGGTAACGTTGTACAAAAATGTTAAATAAAAAAGCAGGGGAAGAACAGTTAAACTTGAACTCTGGAAAAATTTGGTTTCCACTGTTAGTTTTGGGTAAAGGTTCAGTTTGGTGGTGGTTTTATTTTAACTAGTTTCCCTGTCTGTCAGTCTGATATGACACTCTGATACCCCGGGGTACAAATTCTATTCAAAGGAATGAAGGAATTTAAACCCAAACTAAATCCCATGTAAAAAACTTACTGGGTGAGCCTACAGCCTGAATTATCAATGTTGTGATGTGTATGTTACCTTTCAAGAATATTAGAGTTTAACAGTGAACAGAAGTTAGAAACCCAGAAAATTCAGAGTGAAGTTGCATCTACAAGAAAACCAAGCAGACTAGATGATCATAGTGATCCCTTCTGGCCTTATAATCTGGAAATATGGAAATTTATAGTTAAGGTAACCATACCACCTTAACTCTGTCCCACGTAGAAATGCCAGCTTCCCATGCCATCCTCCATACGTTTGGGTTGAGCCTCTTCTGCCAACATAGCGCTGTCCACACCAATGATTTTGCCGGTGAAACTTGTCAGTCAAGAGGGTGTTTTTCCCCATTCCTGACTGACAAAAGTTTTACTGATAAAAGTGGTAGTGTAGACAAAGCCTAAGTCTCCTTGAGGGGTATGGCTTTAGGCCACACCCCTCTCCTCACTATTTCCTGCTGGCTAGCTTAAACAACTCCCTGCTCAGCATTTAGATTTTGTGGCTCCAATCCTTAGACGCTTAGCTTTCCACATGCATCGTAGAGGGAGCCTAGGCACCAAACTTGGGCTGTAGATTCCACTGTGAGGAAAGGTGCCCAGAAAAATGTATTGTCCCATCCAAGTCCCTTCATGGATCTAGCCCATGGCAATTGTCTAACAGAGTGAAGCATAATAAAATCTTTTCCTAATCCCCAAATAACGCAAAAATGGCCAAATATAATTTTCCCAAATGTAGACAAAAATTCACCTTTTGGATGAACAACAATGAGGAGATTTAATCTCAGGTGGCAACATTTTTATTTTTAAAGCTATAAACTCTTGCAACAGGCCTTTAAAGGAGAAATGCCTCCTCAGCTCCAAATAGAGCATTACTAATGCAGTGCTTTCACTGAAGGTGTACACTGGAGGATTTAGTGTGTGGTACTGAATGCCTTTGGACAACTGACTTGTTTCAATAACAAAGTTCCAGTTGCATTATTGCTTTTGTGAGAGGAGAGAGATTCTGCGAACCATAGCCAGCATGTCAAAGAGTTAATGAGTTATCTGCTTTGCTTGAAGTACACATTACATTTTCAAGACAGCTATATTTGTCCTGCTGGGTTCACAGTTTCCAGCCCTGCCTGTGATGCTACACAAGTTGCCTAATACAAGTTTTGTCCAATTCAGCCAGTCCGGACATTGGGCTGAAAATATATTAGTAATTTGGCATTAAGATATTACCTTCATGGCTGATCTCAGGAAGAGCCCACAATTTACATGTGATAAGAGGCCGGGTAATTTTACCTTAAGTAACATAACTATGCAAGGAAACAAAAAGCAAAACAAAATTACCAGGCATTCAGATCTTGTCATTTGGAAAGATAAAATATCCATTTGCTTTTCTTCATGAAATCGTCTTTACAATAGCACTTGTGTCCACATAATGGGATGTGCAGACCTTAGGAGCATTAAAAGGCATTAACACAGGATATGGCTATATACGTTGATAAATGCACCATCTTGGGCCAAGGTTGTATCAGTTAAAGAGTCATTATGGCTGCTCTCCCACTCAGCTCCTCCTTTGTTGTGCAAAGAAAAACCCAAGCCTGGTTTTTTTTGTTTTTTTGTTTTTTTGAGGAGGGGGGGAACGTGGGCGTGTTTTGTTTTTTAACCCAAAAGCTCAAAGCAGTTCCATCAGCCTATGGACTCCAAAGATGCAGCTTCCCCTCCCTTGGAGGTGGCGAAGTAGAGACCGTATGGTACAGACACAAGTTGCTCAAGAATCAACTCTGTTTCCACCAGGATAGACTGTCTCAGCATCAAACCCTCCTTTATTCTCTTGGCCGGGGAGTACCCCGTCTCAATGATCTCATCCCAAAATGACCTTGCCTGCCCCTCAAAGATTGCTGAAACTTTCTAACCATCATCTCTGCTTCCTTACCATTTGAGGTTGCGAAGGAATTCTCTAGTGGATTCCTCTTCAGAATATCTTAGACCAGTTCAGAACCAAATCATCCTCTGGCCAGAGTGTGAATTGGCCCCATAGAGTGTATCACTCTAACCCTGCCTCTCAATCCTTTTACTACATGTGTACCTCCACAGTTAACGTTAGTTGACCACTTTCTTGCTCTGAAGAAATTAAGGTTTGATTTGATCTGTATCAGGCCTGGCCATAGTCAGTATAAGCTCTTGTGTCCTGTATTTGTCCCCGAAGCTATCTACCTAAAAGACTCCTTGAAAGAACCAAAGATATTGGATACTGCTTTATTATCGTCATATTGAAGTATTAGAGAGACATTGTGGGTGAGGTAATATCTTTTATTTGACCATCTTCTTTCTCAGACATGTGTGGCTCAAAAGCTTGTCTCTCTCATCTCTCTTTGATCCAGTAAAAGATATTTCTTCACCCACCTTGTTTCTCTAATATCCTGCGACCGACACAGCTACAACTACACTTCATACTATAATGAAGTACGGCAGATAATTTCTAGAACCTTGCTCGATACAAATATTGCTGAAGTATCTGCTATAGCTGGTCAGATCCCGGCTTCAGGTATCATCTTTAAAGGTTCATCTGGCAGCTAATTGCAACATTCTTTACAATGCAGAGGACTTTATGATCATTATTTGAAGCATTCAAATATTTTCTTCATCTGTATCTTCTGGTGAAATCTATTGTGACTTCTAGGGATCTTAATCTGGCAGTTAGCTCTGAGGTGGCACCAAGCATTCTCTCTATCAGGTGCTTGGCTGATTGGTGCTTGCCCACATGCTCAGGGTCTAACTGATCGCCAAATGTGGGGTTGGGAAGGAATTTCCCCCCGGAACAGATTGGCAGTGAACTTGTGGGGCGAGGGGGTTGCAGCCTTCTGCAGTGTGTGGGTGAGGGTCACTTGCCATGATTACCTGACTACATCTTACTCATTTCTTTGTCATTGTCGGAGCCTCGAGCATTGTGCACGTCTGTCCCTCCTATTTTCTCTCTGTGGCACATAAATAGCTTATGGCTGGTCCACACTAACCCCCCAGTTCGAACTAAGATACGCAACTTCAGCTACATGAATAACGTAGCTGAAGTCGAAGTATCTTAGTTCGAACTACAAGGTACTTACCGCGGGTCCACACGCGGCAGGCAGGCTCCCCCGTCGACTCCGCGTACTCCTCTCGCGGAGCAGGAGTACCGGTGTCGACGGCGAGCACTTCCGGGATCGATTTATCGCGTCTAGACAAGACGCGATAAATTGATACCAGAAGATCGATTGCTTACCGCCGAACCCGGAGGTAAGTATAGACGTACCCTCAGTCTCCTGAGGGCTGTGCTACTTTGGTCTAATTTCAGTTGTTGGGTTTAGTGTGTGGGTGTCTGGTGGTGCTGGTGACCCATTCTGTCCTTAAACTCTGACCTGATGACTCTACACAGACTGATTCCATTTGTAACCTATGGAGGGATGGTTCTTTGTATGAATGCAGCACACATATAAATACTACAGAGCAGCAACCTTATTTCAAATGAACTGTTTTGCTGCCTGATTCTCTTTTCTTCTTTCCATGAAAGTATTCATGGCCATCCGCTTATCACTGGGGGTACATCCAGGTGTTCCTGATACTGTGTATTCAGAAGTGAGTGCACATTTTGATTAGTACCATGTTGATTAGTAGCTACGTGTGTAATTTTGGCTCAAGTCACTCAGTATGTACAGTAAACAAATTCAGTACAAAAACCCCTTCACTTTTTTTTTATGAAATACAAAGAAAGACATACAGATGTAACCAAGAACATTTTGCAGCTTTGAGGGGGGGAAAGATAGAAAAATTCTTGGCAGAGTGGGCTAAAAATAGCTATTTGCCTCTCATCCAAAGCTACCTATTTATTGAAGCCAAGTCTATCTATTTGAGCATGTGTTCTTGCAGTTTTTAATGTACTAGAGATATTTACATTACAGTTTGCATAATAAATTTTGCAGTATGTGTTACCCTAAGAAAAAGATTTCCATGAAAGTGGTTTTAACTGTTCTAGATACAATATTTTACATCCAGACTAATGTAAAATGTGCTCCCCTCTCTATGGGCCTGATCCAAAACTCATTAATGTCAGTGGAAAGACACCCATTGATTTCAGTGGGCTTTGGATCAGGTCGTATAAAGTCTTCATGGGAGCCATATATTTTGCTAGTTTACAAGTAACAAGGGTTCTTTTTCTAGATTCTAGATCTGAATTGTGACAGTCAAACTGGGCCCTCCCCTTCTCAGGGTCATCACAAGGAATAAAGATTCTGCAGGCCAACTTCTGTTCTGAGTTATATGTACCTCTGCAAGGTCATTGACAATAGTATTACCGAATAGCTGTAAATGAGAGCAGAACTGGACCATGCAATTGCAACTTAATTATTTTATTAGAACATTAGCCAGAATGGAATCCAGTTCATTCTCACACTTTGGTGCTGGCTCTGCAGTACTATGTGTACAAAATAAAATGTTATTTTAGTTACTAAAGTTGAGTAAATATAACTTAACTCTTCCACAAAGTTAATTCTCTGACCTCTTTCAGAGCCTTCTGGAAAGCCTGTTTCTACCATGAGGCTTATAGGGGATAGTAGGAAGGATAGTGTAGTGGACAGAGCAGTGGGCTAGACTTTGGGAAACCCAACTTTGAGGCTGAGTTTGGCTACAGACCACACAGGAAGTCTGTGACTTTGTATAAATTATTTAATCTGCCCTATGCCTGAGTTCTCCATCTGTAAAATAGGGATAATGATACCTTGCAGATGTGTTTGAAGGATAAAATGCATTCATGCTAGTGGGATGTCTAGACGTTGTACTGATGAGAGTCATCTAAGAACCCGGATAGATAAAAATTACCAGCTGTTAATGGTTAGGTAAATGGAAAGTAGGGATTATTGATACTAGTTTCATTTATTTGCTACAGTTAAAAAAGAAAAAAACTGATGTGGGCATAGCAAGTCTATATGATCATGTGTTTCTATCATTGTTCCTTCTGGTCACTCCAGTTCTTTGGTACACCCATCTTGTTGCATCTTTTCTTAGATGTAAACTCTTTGGGGTGAGGACCATGTCTTCCTGTGTACAGTAGTTAGTGCAGTTCCCAGGAAAACTGGGGATGCCATGTCACTATAAATTACCTTTATCTGTGGGACTTTGTGAGTCAGCATTCATAGAAAAAGCTGCTATCATCTCTGTGTGAACTGAATGTTTCCAGCCCAAACAGGAGTTATTTCCTGTGTGTAATGGTCCTTTTCCCTTGGGCTGCTTTTGGAGTTTTGGGCCAGCTATTGGTTTACTTTATGGAACACAAATAATGCATCTAATGTAGTATTGCAGATTTCATTATGTTTGATATTCAGCTAGATTAAAATAGAAAGCGCTTGTGGTACTTCCATAAAACTAACCCTTTCAGACATTCTCCCTTATTGCAAATTACAGATTTAATCTTAAGAAGTTACTGAGATGAGCACATTGCCTGTTATAAACTATGAAACATAAGATAAAAATATTAATTCAGTTTATTGGCATGCCTGACAACCTGTATCCTGAGGCTGACTTCAAATTCCAGTGCCCCTTGATGAATGAGGAAACGAGAATTAAACAAATTTCTGGCTCTCATCTTGTAGAAAAGGATGGATTTTGTGTTCATTGTATTGTCTTTTTTACATGCCATTGCATTGCTGCTATTATACCATAGCCACACATTTTGTATATGGTAATTTTTCTACTGGCTACCAAGGCGTATGTGGTATCGAGAACAACAGTTTGGGTATAAAATACAGTGTAGAGTTTTACAAGAATGAAACAATCTCCTATAAACCGAAGTTAGTTGTTGTATAATACTAACTCATTCTCAGTTTAAAATAGGGGGTGGGTTGTAATTTTTCTGTTTCTTCTTTTGCAAAGTTGTGGAGAGGAACTTTCATTAACCTGATTGTCTTTTTTTCTTGACTGCAGAAATTTTTTGATCTTGAAGAGGAGAATGCTTGCTTTCTCAAAGAACAAAAGAATACTTCCCTTCCCAAATTAAACCGGAATAAATATATGGTGACTGATGGAGCTGCTTATATTGGTAAGTAAACCCACATCCCAGTCAGTTCTGATGAGTACATTATAGCTTTGGAGCCCAAAGTCTGAAATAACGATTGTAAGCAGGGTATTAAGTAGCTAAAAACCCCATTCAGTGTCTTTGAAGATTGGACATTAAGTGGAAAATTCCTATTTTCAATACAAAGCTGTTTGTCAGTGCTGGGGTAGAGGAGTTGAATTCCTTCTTTCCAATGGATTATTTCCCAGGGGAAGTGGTAGTGTTTTAAATTATTAAGAGTAGACTGAAAAAGCAACTATAGAATGTACTTCATGGAACAGTCCTGCATTGGTTTGGGAATAGATTGGATGGTCTAATAGATCTTGTCAATCTCTAATTTCTATGAAGACTGACTAGCCTCACAATTTGCCATGTCATCACTATGTTTGGGGTATCTTCATAAGTATAAGACAAGCTGCCACTCTATTCATCCTTTGCAATTTACCCCAGGGACACAGCCTGCATACTGTAGTGCTTGATTTCAGAATACCTGCATTGTACTGTATATGTTTTGGTTCATAATCTGAAGGCGTTGTCCATAGGGTAAGTGCATATTTAAACAATGTCGGTATACAGCTAAGTGTAAACGTTCGTTTTAAATAAAATATTTATTAAATGGAGTAGTAAAACTACCCTTTGGAAACTTGAAGCAAAAGCAAGCACTATAACCTATTTAGGATGGAAATTTTCATTCTTGGATTTATTAAAGTCTCATGAATAAAAATCTATTACTTTTTAATTCGTAGGCAGTTTCCTCACTGCCTAAAAATGCAGAGCACAGCTCAAGTAGCTGAACTGAGAAAGGGGTAGACCAGTGACGTTTCTTTCTCATTCAGGCAGTTAGTAGTTGACTCATCTCCTGAAGCTCAACATCAACTAATTTGGCCTAGCTTGACATCCAAAATCCTGCCTGGGCCAGACTTGATGCAGGGCCCTGCTTGTTAAGTCCCTTCCTAAGGATACACATCTCTGAGTCATAAATACGTACAAATTGCCATACCCAAACCAAGCAGCAGTCCCTCTAGTCCAGTATCCTATGGACTCTGACAGTGGCCAATACCAGCTGCTCGTACTTCAGAGGAAGGATCAGAAAACCCCGCAATAGACATTCATGGAACAATATGCCCCTTCGGGAAAGTTTCTTTGAAATACCTATTCAATCATGAAGGTTTATATCCTTTATAAAACACTTAGTTTATTTCCTTTCATTTTTAAAATCCTTACTCTTATAATTCCATCTATTCTCATTATCATATGAGCATTCACTCTTTTTTGAATCCTGCTAAGCTTTTGGCCCCACTAACATCTTGTGATAATGATTTCCACAGATTACTTATGTGTTTTGTGGAAAAAGTGTATCCTTTTAGTAGTTGTAAGTTTTCTGACTTTCAGTTTCATTGACTGTCCCCTTGTTCTTGTATTATAAGTAAGGGTGAATAGAAGGGCCTAATCTACCATCCTAGACCTCTTTCCAGAGCTCATTCCCTTCTGTTTGGGTGAGCATAAACATTACCATTTTCCCTATTTCCATTTACCTTTTTGTACAAAAGGCCTGGGGTCAGGTATAGCTGCTGTGGACCTGTTGATGTGCCAAGGATGATTAAACTAAATTAGATGATTAAATTAATTATTTCAATTCAAGGATTTATGTCTATATACAGCACTCGGGGTCCTTTTGGTGATGGGTTCTCAACTTACGTTATTTAAAATTAAATGAAAACGCAAAGATCAGTGTCACCTGTCTGGAGCTGGAATAAATTATTTTGACCTTTTCACAAAGGTCATTTGTTTTTTCTCCATGTGTTAGCATTATCAGGGATTTGTGGACAGCAAGATGAGGTTATTTCTACATATGTTGTTTCCAAAAGTGTGTTGTGTACTGCTAGTCGGATATAGTCCCTTCAAAGGCAAAATGTACAGTATCGATCCTCATTTCCTCTCACATGGAGGACCCTACTTGCAGCAGAACTGGTTCATTTCCACTGGGCAGGGTAAGGTAGGAATTGGGGTGTCCAGCCCCTGTCTGCAGCAGGGATCCTATCACTGTGGGCACTACCTGTGTGAAGCCACCACACCAGGGATTTGGGGTTGTAAAGAGAGATCCAGCAACCATTCCCCTCACACAGGTGAGGAGTGCAGACATTGCGATGGCTCCTCCGCTTCACCTCTTCGATGAAGCTGTAGCCCCTGAAGAACTCCTGAGCATACAACCCATTTGCTTGGACTGTACACTGAATTGAAGATTTGGGCCAGTGTGTAGCGTGCCTTCTTTAAAATTGCCACGGTTACAAGACCATAGCTGAGGGTCAAAAGAACTGATGTTGTGTTATAAACATGTTTCGTCATAAATTCTTCATCATGTAAAATATCCTGTATCAGCGGGGTAGCCGTGTTAGTCTGGATCTGTAAAAGCAGCAAAGAGTCCTGACATGCATCCGAAGAAGTGGGTATTCACCCACGAAAGCTCATGCTCCAATACGTCTTTAAGTCTATAAGGTGCCACAGGACTCTTTGCTGCTAAAATATCCTGTGTTCTGTCACTGTATCTTCACCTTCTCCCCTCACATTTGTAATGTCACTAAATTCTGTTGCTTTCGGTGTAACATCAGCAAAATACACCCATTGCTCTCATTACCAACGCCCTCTCTAGATCTTTATTATGTCTCACCTTGAGTACTGCAGTCGCTTCCTCTCTGGCCCTTGCACACCTTTCTTATCCTCTTCAAACTGTCCAAAATGATGTCCCCTAAATCATCACTCTTTTCTGCATCTCTGACCATGTCCAATCGCTCTTCAGATCCCTGGATCAAATTTCAGCTCCGTGCACTGAAGGTCCTATACAACATGGCTCCGTCTTCTATCACTCTGATGTTTCTTTCCACTGTCTTCACCCCTTTCACTCTTCTCAAGCCACCCAACTAACTACACCATTGCATCCATTTGTAGTTACAATTGATAGGATTTAGAAAAAAGCAAAAATCAGAAGTGTGGAAGGGATATAAATCTTCATGCTTCAGGGCATGAGCCATCCTCTAACTGAAGGATAAGGAAGAAACTTCCTTTATGGACAAGTTATTCCATAATTGCCCACTTCAAAATTCTTGCATCTTCCTCGTACTGGCCATTATCAGAGAAAAGATACTTGTCTGGATTCTAGATAGACCATTGATGTAATCCAGTACAGCAGCTCCTAAATTCCTATATCCTTCTCCAGACCTCCTCCTCTGCTGCTCCACACACCTGGAACTTCCTCCCGGACCCAATCCAAAATTCCTCCATCCTTCCGTAAAACACACTTCTTCACTCCATCCATCCCCACTCCCTTAACATATACAAAATGATAAACAAAACAAAATATACAGAAATAATGAACCAAGATGCATGTTTAACATCCTTCAGCTACATTGCTTTTCAAGAGTTTGCCTTCCCCTCATCCTCCTCTTCTGTCTGTTGTCTTCTTAGATTTTAGGCTATTCAGATATGGACACTGTCTTCCTACCTGTTTGTAGAGAACCTAGCCCAATACTTGGTTCTACACCGAGAATGAATAATAATATAATGGTTTTCAAACAGTATAGATAGTAAATCATGGTGATAAAAATCAAGTCTTACTTGAACCAATTAACAGCACATAATCACAGAGATGATCATGCTACTTTTCTTCTTTCATTGACTTTAAACAAATGAAGGTTGATTGTGCAGTTAAGGATTAGAATTCAGGCATAGCATATGTGCACTCACACACAGTAAAGATAAATGCTAATCACTGACGCTTCTATGCAATGAAAGGATTTTTTAAGCACAGCAGTAGCAGAAAGCCTGCCAAACAATCAGTGGGGCCACTGGATGATTGAGTTGCTGAAGGAGCACTCAAGGAACACAAGGCCATTGCGGAGAAGCTAAATTAATTCCTTGCATTGGTCTTTACTGCAGAGGATGTGAGGGAGATTCCCACACCTGAGACATTCTTTTCAGGTGACAAATCTAAGGAACTGTCCCAGATTGAGGTGTCAGTAGAGGAGATTTTGGAACAAATTGATAAATTAAACAGTAATAAATCACCAGGACCAGATGGTATTCACCCAAGGGTTCTGAAGGAACTCAAATATGAAATCGCAGAACTAACAACTGTGGTATGTAACCTATCACTTAAATCAGCTTCTGTACCAGATGACTGGAGGATAGCTAATGTAAGGTGAATTTATTAAAAGGACTCCAGATGCAATCCTGGAAATTACAGGCCGATAAGCCTAACTTCAGTACAAGACAAATTGGTTGACACTATTGTAAAGAACATAATTATCAGACACATAGATGAACATGATTTCTTGGAGAAGAGTCAACACAGCTTTTGTAAAGAGAAATCATGCCTCACAAATGTATCAGAATTCTTTGAGGGGATCAACAAACATGTGGACAAGGGTGCTCCAATGAATATAGTGTACTTGGACTTTAAGGAAGCCTTTGGCAAGGTCCCTCACCAAAGGCTCTTAAGCAAAGTAAGCAGTCATGGGATAAGAAGATCATGGATCAGTAACTGGTTAAAAGACAAGAAACAAATAATAGGAATAAACGGTCAGTTGTCAGAATGGAGGGAGGTAAATAGTAGTGTCCCCCCAGCGATCTGTTTTGGGACCAGTGCTGTTCAACATATTCATAAATGATCTGGAAAAAAGGTCTAACAGTGATGTGGCAAAGTCTGCAGCTGATACAAAATAATTCAAGATAGTTAAATCCAAAGCAGTTAAGTAATTCTTAACTGGAAAACGGACGACTAAGGGAGGATATGATAAAGGTCCATAAAATCATGAATGGTGTTGAGAAAGTGAATAAGGAAGTGTTAGTTTTGTGAGATCCCTTTGTAACTCTTGGCAGTCTGCTTTGGAATTCCTCACTCTCAGGCTACATCCTCACTACGGGGTGGGGGGGGTGTCGATTTAAGATACGCAAATTCAGCTACGCGAATAGCGTAGCTGAATTCAACGTATCGGAGCCGACTTACCCCGCTGTGAGGACGGCGGCAAATCAACCTCCGTGGCTCCCCCGTCGACGGCGCTTACTCCTACCTCCCCTGGTGGAGTACAAGCGTCGATTCGGGGATCGAATGTTGCGTCCCGACGAGACGCGATAATTCGATCCCCGAGAGATCGATTTCTACCTGCCGATTCAGGCAGGTAGTGTAGATGTAGCCTCAGGGTAGTTAAACACTGGAACAAATTGCCTAGGTTGTCGAATCTCTGTCAGGGGAGAGGGACTTCAGTCTTGAGAACAGTAAAATACCTGTTTTGGCTTTCAGACTGAGCAAAGGTGACAAAAATGCAGAAATGAATTGGTGTACTTTAGATAAGTAATTTTTTCCCGAGCTGTCATAGAAAATACATACTCCTGCAATTGTTCTAGAGAGTGGGGGTAGGGGTGGGAAGAAATACTGTATTCTGTTGGATTGCCCTTGAGAAATTGGCTTTTTTTATGTTGCAGTCTCATTATATATTCTTTTCATTTATTTATAGGTAATTTTGACTGGGTGGGAAATGATTTTACTCAAAATGCGGGAGCTGGCCTCGTTATCAACCAAGCAGACGTGGGGAACAACACAAGCATCGTTAAGCAACTTAAAGCCGTGTTTGAAAGGGACTGGTATTCACACTATGCCAAAAGTTTGCAACCAACAAAAATCCCAAACTGCTTAAACTACAAACTTAACAAAGCAGTGGCAAATAAGACTGCCATGAATTAAAAAGACTATTTTACTGTATGATGAATGAAGAAATACATCGGGGCTGCTGTAAGCCTATTTCATATTTACAGATAAGACTAAAAAAAGGCAAAAAAAAAAATTTTTTTTTTTTTTTAGGAAAAAGCACACATATATAAAATGTTCTCTAAACTATACTCTCTATATTGAATTATTTACCACTTTTAAATTTGTTACTTCTGACATTGAATGTCATTTATGCTTCGACATTGATTTTTCACATTTGAATTTAAAAGCATACTTTGATTCCTCTCCTTTTCGTACCTCCCATCCTGGCGAGGCAGAACCTTGAGGCAGAACTGAAAACTGAGCTATGAAATGTCATTCTAAGATCAGCTGCTATTGATACATAATGGAGGACAGACTTCCCCCATGCAAAAGATACAAGTTTAAGCAAGTATTCTCCTATGTAAATCATTCCCTCCAAGTATATGGCCATCCAAGCAGATTTTGATAGTTTTGAACAGATAGTTTGATATCAATATCTAATTACATTTTCACACTATCCTCAAAATGTATTAAAGCTAGCTGTTAGCTTCCTTGTCATCTCCTAATAATAACATACATTTTCTTTTGTCCAAACAACTTTCACTATAACCTCTCCCCCCAATCCTCTTACCTAACATGCTTCAAAACAAATTATTAATTTTAATTCCCTCTACCATCAATGGTTATTCCTTGTTATACCAATGTCTCTTTAATTTTGAAATTCCTGGATGCTGAGGATGTTTTATTATAAAAATCCATTATAAAGATCAAGGGCTGTCTTTTCTTGTCAGCTGTACAATGTGATTTTCCCAATTTGAAGTATTTCTCAAGAGTGAGGCAGCAATTTTGTGTAGCATCATTGTTTGGAGAAAAAAACAAACCCTTAAATGCTACTTTTTGAAAAAGGTGAAGGGCTGTGCAAAGCTGTACAATAATTTTAGTGAAAATTTTCAGTTTTGTTCTAGTTGATTTCTCACCTGGCAAACTTTGCTTTGTTAATTTAAAAACAAAATGAACAAACAAACAAACAAAAAAGTATCCTTTTGTGAAATGGTGTTTTTGTGTCAAAATAGGTCATTCAATCTCTTGCATGTTTTTTATAACTATAAAAGAAATTGGGACAGATTCATCTCTGGTGTAACTTCATGCCTCAATGACTTCAGCAATTATACCAGCAATGAATTTCATCCAGTATATTCAAAGTTGAAGATCATTTTTTAAATCAGATCCGTTTATTTGCAAAATGTCACTGAAAGACCAAGAGAAGCTCTAGAGGTGAATATCTTTCAGTCATGTGTCTTGGGATAAACTTAATATTAAGTCCTTGCATAAAGGCACAAGAGCCAAAAATTCCAGAGTTTGCAGTTATAGCTTCTGCTAGCAATAGCACATAAAAAGATAAAAATTATTAACCACTGATATATTTCCCTTCCTTGCATTGTTGATACTAGGAATGCATTGAATTTTTAGTACATTTTATACAGATAATGGAAAATGTCAATGGAGCAAAACTTTGTCAAAGGAGAAAGTGATTTCATGTCATTGTTGGGTTGCCACTGACCTTATAATTCTGATACCAAATGAATGACATAGATGCAGTAGTTTTATCTGATAGATTTTTTGGAGCAGTAGAGTCACAATTGCTTACTGGTCCATTATGGTATAAGTGGATTCCCATGGGCTGGAAGAACAAATTTATGTACTTCAGTCATCCAGAGTAGAGCTAATTCATCAAAGTACAGGGTTTTTTTTTTTTTTTTTTTAAATATACTGTGTTTTTATGAACCATCTGATTTATGAACAGAAGGGTTTATTTTTAAATAACTTTTATCAGTAAATAGTAGTCAGCCATTCTACAATTAGACTGGCAGGCACAAATTTCATTTGGTATAAAATATGTACTAATGATTTTAATATAGCTGTTTCAAATGACAGCAGCTCCAAAGAAGTGCAGAAGGCTTTTGTATGGTATGTTAGCCAAAAGATAAAGTGCATCCTTGGATTTAAAAAAGAGGATATGGAGTTTAAAAGAAATCTTATTAGTTTTTAGAACACATCAAAGGGGATAATAACCAATCATTCTTTCTGGGTTAGTACTATTATAGTTCAAATAGATCAAATGCAGTGGACCAGGTTCTGATCTCAGTTACGCCAAAGTAAATATGAAGTAAATCCATTAAAGTTAATTTGCACTGGTTCATTTGAGATCAGAACCACTGTTTCCTTTTGCTTTAGCTCTGTAGAGCATCACCACTGCATGGCATGTTTTCAAACTACTATAGGAATTTGCATGTAGTAGTTTCTCACAGACCTCTCAAACAGGATCCAGAAGATGCACTTTCTCTAACTCCCTTCTAACTGGCATTGGTAACTCTGTCATATTACAAAGGTTTTTCTAAAGAGATCAGTTTTATTCTTAAAGAATATAGACTGTAATTGTTGTTTGCTGCAAACATTTACTAGTGCCTTATTCATGCACAAGGTTTTATTTAACTATTTCTCTTGTGAAACCCTGCTAAGATCTTGTGTTTAATACTGAAGCATAAAAACAGCTTGCTTAAAAAGACCTGCATATTGTGAATGTTTAGAATTCAGTACATAGTGATAGAGTCACAAAAAGACAAAACTGTCGCCAGGAGCTGGGCCCAAATCAAAGCCTTGTATATGAACACACCTGAACTTTGGGGTGTTTTAAATGCCACCCCAGCTTCGGATCCAAATTTCACAAATTGACCCATCTTTATTATGAGATAATGCAAATCCCAAATCAAAATATTCCTGATTTTGGGGATATTCAAAATCTGCATTCCCCCAATATCAGACTCCAATCAGAAGCAACAATACCATGGCAGTTCCTTCAAGCTTGAGGGTGAAGTAAATCCAGACACATGCAATGGCTGATACACAACTACTTTGCATATTTCTTTGCAGTGTTGTAGCCCGGCTAGTCCCAGGATATTAGAGAAACAAAGGTGGATGAGGGCCAATTTCCCGTTGATGAAAGAGATCATTCAAGGTGAAGTGGGCAGTTAACACCTCTTCAGTCATAGGACAAAGGAAGGTTAGTGGATTACAGATTGTTGTAATGAGCCATAAATCCAGTATCTTTATTGAAACCCTCCTTGAATGGTCTTTTGCAACATGTGTTAATTCCGTAACAATCTGTTCCACCTGGTATTTAGCTGTGATAGGCTGAGTGCCTTTCCCAGACCTGAGGAAGAGCTCTGTGACACTTGAAAGCTTGTCTCTTTCACCAACAGAAATTGGTTCAATAAAAGATATTACTTCAGCCACTTTGTCTCTCTAACATCCTGCATAGGAAATAAGTGATCTGGCCTGTCACAGCCCTTTTCTGCCTCCTCTACACACTTCTTTCCTACTGCAGATTTAGCAAATGGGATTATATAGGAGGTAGATAGAGGGCGCATAAACCTTAAATAACCCAGTGGAGCATGAGGAAGTTTCCATGGCTACTCTTAGAGCCTGCTTGTATACAAGTCCCATGCTGCTGTAATGGGTATCCTTGCCTGTTCTCTGGCAAGATCAGGCCCAAAGTTCATCTAAATGTTTTACAATAAATGCATATTTTTACCATTTTAAGTTTAAAGAGCTCAAATTTGGGCCCCATATCATCCATGAGACAGGGCCCGATCCTGTTCCCATTGAATTCAGTCTGTATGACAGGCCCAAAGTGTAAGTCTGAGAAACAAGTTTGGAAATCTTAGAATCCTCCTTTTGAGACTTACCCATTTTCTGCATTCCTAATGTATACATAACCTCTGTTAATGTTAACGGGAGTTTTGCATGCATAAAAACTGCAGGAGTTGGCACTAATTGGAATTTTCTTGCCATTTAGCCCTAACTAAAGAAGAAATCCAGACTTAAGATTTCTAACTTTTTTGAGACTGTAGTGCATACTTCCTTAGATTAGCGCTGCCTTTCTTAATACAGTAATAAGACATCAGCTGGCTATTCTAGTTCTTCAAACTGAAGTCCATAATAAATGTCCTCCTCTTGAGCAATGTTTAATTTACTGTTATCTACACTTGACTTTTAATAACCCTGTGGAGGGAAGTAATTTATCTTAAACCCTGTGGACTTCATAATTATTACAACTATTTCATTATAGCCTAAGATGTACTGATAAAATATACATATATTTTCAGATGCTAATTTTTATCACTGTATTTTGCTTCTTCCCTTCCTTCCCTTTTCCTGTAACTTTATTATTTATTTAATCATCATTGCTCTGTTCATTTTAATTTATGTAAAAGTTGAACTTGATATAATTTAAATTCAGAGCCTTGCCTCCTGAGTTGAGTGCACCAGTACCCTTATTCAACTTTTAATAATATAATGTTTTGTGTTACAGTAGAAAAACTGATATTGTACAATGGTTTCTGACATTTGACTTTATATTTTATTTTACATATTGCTATGTAGTATATATGGATTTTACACTGTCAGATCTAGTTGCTTTTGCATCATCACCTTGCACATATGCCTTAGAAGCTTGCCAGACTAGCATGAGAAAACAACGTATCTTTTCGAAATAGAGTTTAGACAAGTGTAGAAAATACTCATGTAGTATTTGATTATGCTGCATGGGTGTTTGGATTTTTTCAAATTAATGGTAATGTGCTATTACTCTATACAATGAAAGCTGTGCTATGGGCCAATTTCAGCAGATGAACCCCTATCTTAAATGACCACATTCAATATCCTAGAGGTTTCTTGAAAAATTTTGTTCAGAGTTCATTTAGGGCATGATCCAAAGCCAGTGAAAGTCAGTGAGAGTTTTTTCATTGTCTTAAATGAACTTTGGATCAGGCCTAAGACATCTTATAGAAGGCATCCAGTTGTCCCTTGAGTAGTCCCATAAGAGAGGTTTCAGCCCACCACTTAGCTCAGATTTTTATGTAAGATGCATTTCTACTGCACATATATGGACTACAACTGCCTTAGAACACTTGAGGTTACATTTGGCCTAAGGTTCAAAATAAAAATAGGAAAAAAAAGTTAAT